TGCTGTGGTCAAAGGTGCCCCGTTGCTGTGGAGTCATCAGTGTGGGTTTCAAAGCAGCTCAAAACCAAAACACGGTGATGAAGTGGGAGCTTCTGTGCCAAGTGCCAAGTGAACCTGAAAGGTTAGTTTACTCTGTAATGAAATTCCTGCTTCAAAGTCTCCATCTCTTTTCCACTAGGGAGACCTGTGCTTTCTTTAAGCAGTGTTTAGAGGACACCAGTCTGCAAGGGTAATCATCCTCGCCTCTGGCAGGAACRGCTCGTGCACTAGCATTTCTAAAAAGGCTCTCTTTGTGAATAATTGAATTTGTCTCTGGAATTCAAGATTTCTTTTTCTGGGACTGACTGTAGCTATGCTTCTTTAGGTGCAGCTTACTGTAACTGAGGCAAAGGAAATGTATTTGCAGTAGAGGGGTTTGTGAGCAGCACGCATAACAGGGTGATTGCCATGGAAAGAGTCGTTTGTAGTGTTTAAAATGCCTCCTCCAGTGGTGAATGGATCTGCAGAAAATAATTAGAGGGTCCCCCACTGCCATCCCCTACTCCCACAGGAGTGCAAAAAGATTAATGCTGCATGAGATGTCCCTGTGCAGTGGGCAGAGCCCCTCGCTGCAGGGCACTGTCAGGGACCCATCCTGGATGATATTCAGAGCCCCCCTGTTCGTGACACCACCTGGACACAGGGGACTATCAACCAGGTCAAATGCTTGTCCAGCCCTGAAGAAAACACTGTGGTTCACATATTCACTTACAAGATGTGTCACTTGCTTGGGCACAGCTTCTTTCCCTCTGAAGCCTTCCAGCCTTGCAGCGATTTCTGGGTGYCTCTGGAATGGCAGGAAAAACCTTCACATCCCAACTGTGAGACAATCACCCCTGTAGCTTSTTCACCAACAAAAAGCCAGACACAGAGGTGTCCTCCCTCCAGTTACTGACGAGGTCCACAGTCCCTGAATATGTTTCAGTATCTCCTCTCACCCTTACCATCCGTAACCTGGTGTGGGATATCCCACTGTGGCATTTGCACAGCTGCCCGTGAGTAACCTTTCAGGGGTAATGGGGGACAAAACTCACAGTAATTKGCATTGCTKTGAGGAAGACCWCAAGTCTGGCTCCAGGGAAGAGCTSACTYCCTSAGAGTAGGCTKWGGTCAGTGGCTGTCTCTGGGTTTTGATGTCACATGCGCTGCACAGGGACGTCGGCGGTGGGTGAGGGACTATTTCAGGAGCYGGGCTGAAGGTAGGAATTGGGGCAAAACATGGCTCTGAACTGAACAAAACTCTGTCGTGCTGGGAGCTTTCTTTCTTGTCTGTCTTTAATCACCAAGCACAGCTACAGAGCTGGGCTGCTGCATTCAGCCAACACAATGAAACATGGCAGCAGTATATTTTTAGAGTCTCATTTTAACGGGGGAAACCAATTCTGAGGACAATATACAGTGATCTAGTAACTCAAACAAGCTGCTCAGGGATTTYTGTGTCTCTTGAATATGCCACACAGCACTTGGGCTGTCTTGTCAGATTGTGATGTGTTTTTCAGATCAATAAAAAGGCTTGTTTAAGACAAAAAACATTCTCTCATGGTACAAAGCTTCCATGACCTGATCAGCAGAAAAAGCTATGGTAACTCCAATCATAAATGAAAATCCAAATTTTAGACAGAAGTCGATTTTCCTGGACTCTAGTATCTGCAGGTAATCTCTGGATTCCTTTTGGTCTTTGCTCTGAACTGGAAACCAGAATGTATCTCTTTAGTATTTTTATTCCCTTCTGTGGCTGTCAATTACAATGGCTTGAATATTCTGTTCATCCTCAGCTTCAGGACTTTTTGATCCTCTGGGACAGATCTTTCTCTGTCAGGTTTCTGAACAACAAGCAGAGATTTCATCCCCAGGGACAATTTCTTTAGCAGTAACCCGGGCATCCAGTGCATTTCCGACAAGTGCTTTTATTGCATTTCCTCAGGTAGAAGAAAAATGCAAAAAAAAAAAAAAAAAAAAAAAAAAAAAAAAAAAAGGAACTGTGTAGAAACATTTATTCCCCAAGACACATGTGGAGCCCTGATGTAGTCTGGCCAGCAGCACTATTAGCAGCTCCTGCTGGTGTCCTTAACCTGTTTAAATGTGACACCAAAAGGGTTGCATATCCACAAATTAGGGAAGTGCTATGGATGCTGTTCACATATAGTGCACAAAATAGGAAAATTACCAGAGAAGTCTTTCACCTTTTGCTTTGTTCCTTGCATGGTGGAGTTTTGGGGAGCTCCAAGGTTAGCAAAAGTTGGCAGTCAGGATAAGATGYGTCAGGACTCAGATCAGCCAAGGATTGCCTCCTTAGGGAAGGAGAGAAATGCCTGTTTAAGGGACTGTGACACTTACCCTCTTCTCCCTGAAGAATGGGCTGTAAAAGGCTCTGTCCCAAAGTCCCACTGCTGAGTTGTCCTTGGTCCCCTGGGGATGGAGCTATCGGGGGGCAACAATCCTCCTGTCCAGCTTAAGGGTTGAGCACCAAAACATGAACAAATAACAAATATCCACGCTGTGTATGTGAGGTGTGTCCTGCCCTGCTCTTTTGGCTTGGGGCAAAGAAGTGTTACAAGCAAGAACTCAAACCTGTTTCCTTCTGAAAATCTGTCAGCAGCAGGCCCAATTTGCATGATTTTCCTGCAATGAAGGTGCTTTGCTGGCAGGAGTGTGCCCAGCTCATGCAAACCCAGCGTGCTTCGAGGACACTGGGAAGGATGTGCAGGTGACCCTCAATAGGGAGGTGACAGGACTGCCAGGATGCTCCTCCACCTGAGGGTGCTGCCATTACCAAAACTGACATTGGAGGACAGGACAGAGATTAACCACACCAAGGGACCTTGTCACATGTGATGCCGTAATTCATCAAGCTGCGGAAAATAATTAATGTTCTCCTTCTCAGGAAGAAAAAGGCAGGGGGGGAAGGGCATCTAGAAAGCTCTCATTTCACTCTGCTTCAATTGATGGGAATTGGTGTTATTTTGCTGGGTTTTTTAAGATGCCAAGTGTGGAGAGCCTAGAAATAGTATATGGGAGATATTTTCAACTAAACACATGAAGGAAATTAAGGAGGGGGAAAAGCCAGCTTTTTTTGGCATRCTAATTACCTCATAGTACTCAGTTCTTATAGAACTATCAAGGTTGGAAGAGATCTTCGAGATCAAGTGGAACAGTTAACCTGGCACCATATAATCACCCCTAAACCATACCCCCAAAAATTAGGTATCTTCAAACTTAGGTTTCTGACATGTTTTTGAGATTGTGTAAAACTGCTTACTCTGAATTTATCTGAAAGACAAGAGGAACAAAATCGAACTTTCAGCATGGGCTTACAATGTAGGTAATGTTTTCATCTCAAAGGTTTCTCAAGATGTACTAATTTTATCACTCCAGCAGGAAACTGAGGCTTTTGGTTTAATGAAGCATTTCTTTGAAGTCATGCTAAGTGACTGTGCTGCACATCTGCCTGTCAGCAYRGGGCAGGACCCTTCCACTTGCYTTTCTGAGGGAGCACTGAGACAGCTCCACACTCACCAGAGCTTCATCAGGTGAAGATGAAAGCAAGGTGGCTCTGCTGTCTCCTCTCTTTGCTCTCGGTGCCCAGTGTCACAGGTAAGAGAGTCAGGGGACACCTCAACTCAGTTTATGATGAAGGGTGCTGAGGGGCAGACTGGGATTAGACGCTCTCAGAAGGTTGAGCTGTAGCTGCTGGTGATGATTTGCTGTTTCTGCCAACTTTTCAATAACCCTGGTTATAATGTGCAGCTAGTAAATGGCTTGTGCTGACCAGCAGATGACTTAATTCAATATGCCTAACCTGCCAGAATAATCACTGAGATGAGCTCACTCGTAGTTAGGACAATGTGTGCTCCTCTAAAGTGGACCAAAATGAAAATTGTTTCAATGGGGGAAAAAAATTACTTCTCTCTGTCTTACATACCTGTGTGTGCAGAGAGAGGAAGAATTGAAACACTTCAAGGCCAGTGTAAATTGTTCAGCTGCAAGCCTTTAAACAGACTCCTCCCTTCCTCTGCCCAGCCTCGCCCTATGTGCTGTGTTAAAGGCTTGAGAGACAAGTTTGTCAYTCAAGTAAAACACTCAGAAAAGCTGCCTAAGGAGAGCTGCCTCTTTGTCAAAGGGAGCTGAAACCAAAAGCAACCTGAGAAAAGCAAAAAAAAAAAGTATGTTCACAAACCCCCACCCCTTCAAAATTCTTACCATGATARATGCAGGAATACTTATTACCAACTAGGAAGCACAGTTTTGTAGGATGCACAATTTTCTGGTTAAGAAGGGAGAAAAACTGCATGTATTTGACTGGCATAGGCTYTTCTTTTTTCCTACATCACTGTGGCAAACATGTTCTTAAAATAACGGAAAAATAAATCATATGTGTATTCACAGAAAATAGAAGTTCTCAAATGCAAAGAAAGGAATAAAAGTGTCAATACAGGCACATGTAAGAAAGCAATAGCAACTAGAGAAAAATAGGAATGGGAGGGTTTTTTTCCCTGAGGATGAAATGCTCACTGAAGTCACTCAAAAGTGAAAGTGGAGTCCTCTGTGTCCTTTGTGGAGATCAGACATCTGAATGTCTGGGARTTACTCCAAGAAATGTCAATTGGAGCACAAGTATGAACTCATGGACTCTATTTGATTTTGAGAAATAGTTGACATAAAATGAGACTACCTATATTGAGATGCTAGCAAAAGGTTAAGAACACTTTTGTKCAAAAGGTTTGCATTTAAAATAATCTCATGTGCTAGGCTACCAAGAAACAATGCAAATTAAAATGTTGATGCTACATATATAGCTTCTTCAACTTAATGCAAATTACTCAAGCAATTCTTCACAGACATTCTTTTCATTTCCTTAGACCAAAGGCAGCATCAGCACGAATATGAGAGAAAAAATGCTATGTGTGTTTTGCCTAATAGTCTGATTGCAAGATTCCCAATTGCTTTTTCCTTAACTTTTAYTGATGCAAAACTTGTGGTGAAATGAGAGAGCATTTCCTGTAATAAGCTCCTTGGACTAACAAAAATAGTTTCCAGTAATTTTTCTCACAGCACAAGGCTGTGAGACTTGTCTTTCAGKCTTATTTTTATTTACCCTCTTACATCACCACATTTCTTATAGAATAAAAGATGAGCAGAACACGTGCAGCAGTGAAACAGCAGAGATTAATGCTGGCCATGGCCATTCAGCAGCTTTGTTCTCCACACATCTGGTCTCCAAGTGTCCCTGTCACCCTTCAGCTGACAGGTATCAACCCTCAGCCAGCTCTGCAGGGATGTGTCACCCTGTCCTTGTGCCTTCTGTGTGTCATTGAGGGGGCAGGGGGCTGAGGGTGCAGGGGGTCCCTGCTCCTCCCTGGCTGAGCTGGCAGAGCGTGGGGCACACTGCAGCACCTCTGGGGTTATCTGGCCCCTGGCAGGGAATCCTTGGCTCAGGTGTCCCAGAGCCCGGTGCCCCAGAGCAGAGCAAGTGCCAAAAGGGAGGAATTGGCACCCGCCCTTTTCAAGCAGAGAGGGTGAGCAGCAGGCAGGGCTGCAGGATGAATTCCCAAACCAAAGATACAGGGATGCTATGGGACACWGGGAGGATGAAATGCAATGTAAATGAGGGCAGCGAGTCCGTACCTAAGGACACGACTGCACAACTCATTTTTTTCTCTAGACCCACACGTCCATTTGGAAAAGGGACTTKGTGTGTATGGCTCTGTGGGAGTGATTGATTACTCGTCTCACTGCAGCAATCCTCTCCATAAATTCTTCATCTCCTTGAGTTTGTCAGTGCCCTGCATTCAGGGGTTTGGGGACTGCAAGGCTCTTACTCATAGGAGGGAGAGAGGGATATAAATCAATTTTACTACAACAGCAGCTAACCTGAGTACTATAGGCTCCAGCTGAAAGCCCCTTCATTTCATCGATCCATTACTCCTTTGTACAGCACACTAAGGACTGCCACCTGCTTTATGAAATTAATTGAGGAAGAAACCACCTGTACCAGAGCAGCTCGCTCTGACACTGAGGCAGACACTCGTTTAGGCCATTGTAGGAGCTGTTTAATAACATAGAGGTGAGGGAATGGCTTTCTTTGCCAAAGCAGCAAAGGCAATGGACAGGGGGATGGTGCAGGGCAGACTTAGCCAGCGGGGATAACTCATTTGTTCTTGGAAAAAGAGCTGGGGAATAACAGGGCCTAGCWTCTGCTTTATTTATATTATTTGAAAGATTTTCATTTTCACAGAGGCCCYCAGAGCTCTCATTTTTCTCCCACAAGTGTGATAGGACCTCCCTGCCCTCTGCTCTCGCAGTTCTCTCTCTGCAGTCTGTACTGCTGGGTATTTGCTGCAAAGCTCCTCACTGGGAAGCCTGTGGTTACAATTGTAGGGTCTTCAGAGTTGTCTATGGCTAAGGCACCAAATCATGTCAAAGATGGCTTGGGAAAACCTTTGTTTAAACATTACTTGCACTGAAAATGATCCTGTTTGTTTTCCAGGCCAGTCTGCAGATGTGATTACCCCCACAGAAGTGGTCCATGCTCTGCCYGGCACCGACGTGACCCTGGTGTGCATCTTCCCCAAACCACACACCACCCACATCATACAGACACAGTGGTCCAAGGCTGGTGGCAGCCCAGATACCAAAATAGCAGTGTACCACCCCACCTATGGCACCCATTACCACAAGTTTTCTGAGGCTCCTCACAGCTTTTCGGTGTCCTTCAGCACGAGGAGGTGCTGTGGTGGGGATGACACAGAGTCCTTGTGTTCCACCAATCCAAATGCCACTGAGTCCAAATGCAGCTGGTGGGTTCTGCATCTGAAAAATGTCAGCATGTCCCTTAGTGGGCACTACGAATGCACTTTTGCTACTTATCCCTATGGGACAAAGGCAGTAAAAATTCAACTTATCGTCAAGGCAGAAGGTAAGTGATTGTGAATGAGATTTTTCTTTTTCCTAATGGGGTGGAGGAAAATACCTTGATAAATGAACTTGGTTGGTGATGGTGACTTCTTTGGGATTTGCAGTAGTGCCGCAGAATGTTGCTGGTACAGATTCTTATTTACCAGGCACTCTTTATCTGTTGTAATCCAGTTGATTATTAAGAAATCTTACTTGTTTGGTAGGACATGAAATTAAATAATAAAGCAAAAAAAAAGGTGGTGAGGTGGGCAGTTTCCACATTTTCATTTTGGAGAAATGTTGTGAAAGAGACTGGATGAGCCACTCACGATATGGTGGGACTCAGGATGTTGGATCTTCAAACCACGTTGTGCTGCTGCTGTGGGCATGCAGCCCTGGGCACCAGAAAGGGAAAAYACCCTGGTTTGATTGAGGCTRAGGGCTCAATCTGCAGAGCATGCTYGGTGTTAGCTCCATGGAAGGATAGCTTCCCCCACCATCCAAAACACAGCAAAGCAGGGAATTGCTTAGGAGAATCACAGGRATGGAGATTTGGCTGCTTCTGTCAGCCAAAAGGAAGCTGGAAAGCATCACAACTGCTCTTGGTAAGTGAGCCTCAGGGAAGAGTGTGAACTCCAGAGAGGAYATTTAAATTATCCCTGTAAAGGAACAAATTTATTTAAATCAGAGGAGAATGATTTGACTACAAATTAAACAACAGCGACAACTGTCAGTGCACCAGCTTTGGGAGCAGCTATTTAGTGTCAGCAGTGAGGGCATAATCCCAAACTGCCGTGAAGATGGAACTGGGCAGGGATGTTGAGCAAGCTTCTTTCTGTGCACATGGGGAACTGGATTTGACGACCCCAGAAACCTCTTTCTGAYCTAGGTTTCTGCCAACAACCCAAGAAGGATTACACTAAATACAACAAATCTGTCACTGTTTCAGTTCAGAGCTGTAAGGCCAATGTGCTCGTTCTGCTTGTGCCCAGGGCTGTAGGTACAGCAGACATTCAAGGGTTAGAGGCAAGTGCAGGTTATTTTAGGGGTATTTTAGTGTGCTCCCACTGCCCTTTTACCTGCATCATGAAGCCAGGCTGGTGCTCCTCATGCTGGACCTGCAGCAGGAGGAAGGTCCTGTGCAAGGCTCATACTCAGGGATGTTTAATCCTCATGGCCCCTGCATGGCAGTGGCCCCAAGCATTTTGGTGCTGTTATCCTAGAYACACATCTCAGGCAGCTCTGGAGCACCTTGGTACCCTGAAGAACTCACAGAGGCAGTGAGAGCCAGCACTTCTACCCAGCTCACGGAGGATGGGTGTGTTTAAACAACACATGCTGGATGACTGTGCCAAAGATGAAGCTGCTCCTCTGCCCACTGTAGGGGGATATATTGTGGTAGGCTATCCTTTTCCTGTGCTTCACAGAGCAGAGGGATCCAGTAGAGTGCAGTGAGGCACAAACAGTGCTGCTAACCCTGTGAAATCCACCCATGCTTCTGCTCTTCATGTGATGTTTCTCTGTCCCCTCTTTAATACAGTAACAGTGCTAATCAGGCTTTTTCTCCTGCCCTTGGCTGACACAGAAAGGTTCAGCACTGTTATTGCCGTCTGCATGTGAAGCGTGGGCAGCTCTTGTTTAGGTCAGCATGGTTGTGGAGTTTTTCAGTCACTACATAATGTAGCAARCTGTGCTACTGATAGCTGCTTGCTAGAGAGAACTGAAAAATTGAGTTGGCTGCCTCTTGCAGGTTTGTATTTTAAGGTAACCAGATCCTTTGCAATGAACCACTTCCACTCAAAAGAAGGCAAAAAATCTTAATCCAGCCTATGAGTGCAGTTTTCACTCACATCAAAGTGAAGTGAAGTGAATCCAGATGCATTCAATGTGTAGATGCTGCAAAAAGCCCGCAGAGCAGCAGGCTCTGCCTGGGACAGACAGACAGACACAGAGGACCTTAGCCAGAGAGCCTGTTAATGGAGATGGGAGTCAGAGGTGAGAGGSGGAAGCAAACAGCTGGGACATGTGACTGTGAGAGCAGGCAGAGGCTGTTTCCAGGCTGAGCTCCTGGGGTGACTRCTCATCTCCACACTTCTTGTATTCTGCACAGCATTTTTACAGGGCAGTTTGTCCCAACAAAATCTTCTGCACAGTTTCCTTCCAGGAGAAACTATGGATCTGCTTGCTTTGTCCTGTCTTTGTCCTTTGTGCTCTGTCCAGCCCTCTTAGGGCTCTGCATTCTGTGTCCCGGTGTAAGAGCTGGCTCCTCGGGTGCTCCACTCTCACAGACAGCAGAGGGAAGCTGCTCCTGCTGCTGCCTGTCCTGGACACAGCTCTGGGCACTGCCACACCTCTGTGGCACAGGCTGTGCGCTCAGGTACCAGCTACAAAGGAAGTCACAGTCACTGGAAAGTCCCCACTGACAAATGACACAACAGTGTGGGACAGCTGGATGTCCTCACTCCCCTCGAGATTAGAAATAAATGAAAATAATAATAACAAATGAAATGAAATGTGAATAGATGAAATCTGTTCTATCTCAGCACGCAAGCCAGAGCTGCCAGGGCAGCAGAGCTGAGGAGTTTCCCTGTGGTGTGTGCTGGTCCTTGGCTCCAAGGAACAGGGAATGTCTCAAGGCAGGGGGGATGCACCATCCTGTCCGTGCCCAGGGGTCAGAGGGGTCACAGGGGTYAGTGCTGACCACTACACTCGTGGCATCTCCCACCCATCCCCACTGCTGTTCCTGGCTAAATGCGTACGTGCACACTCACAGACACAACATCTGGACCACAGCTGTGCACTGTTCACTGCATCACTGCCCATCCACAGCTGGATGGAGCCCTGGATTGAGGAYGGGTGGCTTTTGAAGTGGACAAGAAAGGAAAGAGTGACAAGTTTTCTGCTAGTGGGCAGATTGAAGAATAACAGAAGGAGCACTTACACTGAAAAACTGAAGAACAGGGTTATTCTTAACCTGACTGACATGCTGAATAGTTTGCTTGGTGAAAAGAAGGTCTGCAGATATCTTCAGAGAAAAGGAAATAGAGGTGCACAAAATTGATGTGAAGGTTTATTGCCACAGAAAAAAAAAACTGTAAGATAAAAATTGAAGCTTCAAATTATTCTCAGCTCTAAAAAGAGACATCGTGATCTGCAGTTAAGAAAAGCTTTTTTCAGAATTGCCGAAAAATTCAGGTAATGCTGTGAATTGAGTCATGAAACTGCAACTAGAATCAGATGCAGGGCTTTTACTTAAAAATGTGTCTGGGGTAATGGTTGAAAATTACAGTTCACTTCTAAACAAAAAAGTGCCTATTCCTAGAACAGAAGACTAGTCAGCATTGGTTTTCAAAGCACAATGAACATCATGTTTCTGATTTTCCTTCTTGGGCTTTGTTGTTGCTGTTGTTTTTGTTGCAATGATGAAAAGAGGAGCGGCACTACCTGAAGAAAGTGTGGGTAAACCAGACTTTAGAAATTCCATGCCTTGAGGATGTGACCTCAGAAAATTTGTCCRCTTATCATTTGCAATGGCTAGTGGTAAGTATTTTTCATCTCAGTTATAAAGYTCAGAAAGAACTACAGGGTATTTTTGCAGATTGAAATTAAAATGTTTTACTCTACTGTGTCCTGCAGAATCTGCTAAAAAATTATCAGTCATGTTGGACTGTGATAAAAAAGGGAAGAGGTATAAACATAGGTTTGCAACATATACACTGCAAATAATAGCTGTTAAAGAAACAAAGAGGGAAAATTCCATCTTAATTGCTTTGAATTTTTCAGGAGCACACACAGAGCAGGTCTGGGGGAAGTGGCTAGAGTAACAAAACTAGAATATTTCTTGTGTTGGATTTCCAGCAATTTTTCTGTAGTGAAGCTTAAGTGTTTGAAAATTACATGGCTGCTGTGCAGGGTAGTGAGATATCAGGCCCCTTTGAGATCTAAAAGAATGGTACTGACTAATGTTTTTGGTTTTGTTAACCTCTGTGTCATAGATGCCACTGAAGAAATGCAAACCCAGTTTTTGAGCTAACATGAAAAGCTATTTTTAAGCAATTTGCTGTGCGATATGAAGCTTGCTATATTTTTGTGCTTTATCTCCCTTTTGGATAAATATTTATATGCGTGTTTTAATGCAGCCTTTTAGCATTCATTTCRGTGTGTAGAGATAAGTATCAGTGAGCAGTGTCCTTGAGCTTTCCCTGTTCATTTATATATGTTGTCACTGAGCGGCTGTAACTGTTGAGAGTTTCCTTAAATGTGTCTTTTTAATATTTTAGGCTTTTAAACCTTTTGTCCTGGTTCATTATCTATTGMGATCCCCCTTATGCAGGTCATTCTTAATATTAAAATTTTAAATCTCTTTGTAGGGAAAACGATTATCCTTACTACTTTAGTTTYGCCAGTTCACTCTATAAAGCAGCAGAGGAAAGGGGGAAAAAATCAACCCCAAAGGTCAGCACAGTGATATATGTGGGTCACCATGCATCATCCAGAGCAAAGCTTGCAAATATGTACCGAGGCRCAGATGTCCAGGACATGTTGGCTGTATTTATAGCTAAGGCTGCCACACGACAATGAGGGGAGATGAATTTTAGTTATTATTATCAGGTTTTTCTCCTTACAATTCTAAAAGAGCAAAGGTTTTATTGAAATTTCATCTGTATTTAACACGGATGGGATGTTCAGCATAACTCAAAGACTGGTGCTGTGAGAAAGCACCTCTGTTGCTCTCTCTGCAGGCTACAGAGATCAGGGCTCACCAGACACCACTGTTTATTCCATATTTTATTGTCAAGATGAGGACTGCTCTTGGTATTGAAGCTCTGAGAGACAATATATTTGGAAAAAAAAACCCAGATGTTGCAAATGTCCACTCACAGCTACACAACATGCAAGGGAAGATTTTCATAGGCATAGAGCTGCCCTACAAAAATATTTCTCCATATGTATGTGTCCGAACTTCACAATTTTATGGGTTTTTCTGTACTCAGGGTGGAAATGGCAGGAAAGAGGAACTTGTGAGCAAGAAGCCCTTCAGCCCTGCTGTGTACAGGAGCAGCAGTGCCCTGCGTGGCCGAGCAGTCCGCCTGGCTTCAGACAGCACGCTGATGGTTTTCCCCACAAAAATCACAGATGATGGCAGAGAGTTCTCCTGCCACGTGCTCTACCACCCAGAGAGAGCCTGGAAGAGCAGCACCACTGTGAGAGTCTTTGGTAAGGGGCTTCTGCCAGCTGCCTGCTGCCCTGCATTGGAGAGGTGACACTCCTGTCTGGTGCTGCAGCCAGTAACTTTGGACAGACAYTGGGTTGTTTTCTTCTAAATAAGCACATTTACACTGTCATTTTTGCAGCTGTGATGAGATAAATAACTCTGAGTTAGTAAATAACTCTGGAGTTCTTAGAAGAATTTGAGAGCACTCCTTCAATTTCTGGCATGAAAAAATAGTATATTCATTACACATATGCCAGCCCCCCTGCCATGCACATGGCCAGTGTCTTACCAGATGTGTAGGGTTATGCTGGGTTTTGTAGGATGCAGGGAAGCACATTTGTCATCAGGATCTCTGTGCCCCAATGACCACACTGTCTGTGGTTAGAAAACCTTGGCCAAAATTTAGTGAGCTGTTGTAGCATAGTTGCATCCTCAAAGGCTTGTGATGTTCAACTGATGTTCAAAGTCTCCAGCTCTGAAAATGAGGATCCAGGTGGGGGTCCCAAACTGGTGAGGGGTGGCAGGGCCTGTGCACTGCAAATATGTGGGCTGGCATTTCCTGCTGGAAGCCTTCCCCATCTTTAGTTACTTGCCTTGTTCCCTTTCAAGTGGCTTAGGAGCTGCTTTACAATCAYTGAGGCACAACTGACTCAGAAAATTGCTGCCCACTTGAAAACCAGGCTTTTTTTTTCTCTTTATAGATCAGTTGGTCTGGAAAACATATTTCCAAAGCTCCTAAAGTGTTAAACAGTGGGCCTGCCAGAAGTCCCTTGACTGTAGCTGATTATCCAGGGAGTCCCACAGCTTGAGAATGGCACACCCATTCAAGGCTGATGCTCCGAATTAAAACAAAAGTTCAATAGAGAGAAGAAAAAAAAAAAGGCAAAATGTGTCTGGGGGCTGTTGGTCAGTGATGTAAAAGAAATAAAAATAGAAGTTAATGGTCTGAAATCTCCTCGTGCGTTTGCATGATTCAGACACTTTTTGAAATCAACGTTTCTCAAATAGCGACAGTGTTACCTGGGTAATCATTTGAGTGTKCTAACATACTTGAACTCTCTCCTCCGTCACTGCTGATGCTCTTGCCTAGATTTGTGTCTCTTAGCCTAAGAGGTTGCTTTATTTGGATTTTTCTCTGACTTRCTGTGAGATGTGTGCTTAGCTGTGCATGAGCCCACATCAGAATATCAGCACAGCAGGGTAGGGAGGCAGAGAAGAGAAGGCTGTGGTGAACAGGCTGCATTTGCCAGTGAGTGCTGGTTGGATTTGCACCGAGGTGCTGAGCCACTCGCCTCTCTAACAGGGGTCCCGGGGGCAGAGCTGAGTGCAGCAGCCCCCTGAGAGCCCTGAGGTGCCCAGAACAGTCCAGCACTCTCCAGGTGACATCTGGGGACAAAGAGCCCTTTCAGATGACAGATGACAGTCCTTTCTTGTTCCTCGTGCTGAGCAGAGAATAAGGAAATGAATATTTGTGTCCTGGCAGTTAGAAGCAGCCTCAAAGGGGCAGCACAGAATCTAAAGACAGCATAAGCRAACAATGTCAATTGAGGTGGCCTGATTGGGGCTGAGAATTGGGAAAAAAAAAGTATGAAGAAATGAAAAAATCTCACAAGGAAGCTAAGAGTCTTGTTATGTTGAGTAAAAACAGGCATTCAATCAAGACAGCTTTTTTAAGAGGGTACTTTTGGACCRAAATACTTTAAACTATTTCTTTTTTAGAAAAGAGTTATTTTAGATACAAGTTTCTGTGAAAAGGTATGGCCTTTTCATGTCTAGCTTGGCCAAATATTGATTTCTCCTTTCCGTAAGAGCAAAGGCTCAGCAGCAGAAATTACTGAACTAAATATTGGATTTCTGCTAGATCCCAAACATTGGTAAATATCCTTGCAAGACAAATGAATGTCAAACTGTTAACAGGGGCCAAGATGTTAATTGGAAAAGATCTATTAGACCGTTCAGAGTTGTGCATGAGAGCTGCCTGCCAGAACAGTTACCTAGCAAACACATCTTATGAGAGAGAGGACAGTGTTCAATACAGGTGAGGAAAAAAACAAAACAAAAAAAAACCACATGCACTAGACTAGGCATTATTTAGCCTCCCAGTAAACTTCTGCTGTGATTAGAAAATCCAGTTTAGCAGACTTTTCCCTGTATCCGAAAAAGTACRGCTGTTTTCTGCCAGCTCCACTACCACCTGTGTAGTTTTGGCAAGGCAGAAACAAGAATGAAATCTTAAGACATTAATTTTCTGATGTGAAGAATCTATAATCCCTGCCCCACCCCTACCCCACTTT